TCTGCCGTTAGTCTGATGGGATACCCTTTGTAGGTAACTTGCCTTTTTTCTCTTGCCAGTCTTAGTATCTTGTCTTTGTCTGTGGTTTTGGTGAATCTGACTATAATGTATCTTGGAGAAGATCTTCTTGGGTTGATTCTATTTGGGGTCCTCTGTATTTCTTGGGACTGAATCATTGAGTGCCTATAATCTAGGTATTTGTTAAAATTTATTTTATGGGAAACAATTTTGAAATTGTTAATGACAAAACTGAAAATAGTGAGAATAAAGTATATAGACAAATAGTTATTTTTATTATATATAGTATTTAAAGATAATTATTTAATTTGTGATTAATGTTATTATATTAGTATAATTAGTTTTATTGATGATTATTTATTATTATTATGTATTACTATTTATTATTTTAATAGACTGAGGAATTAAACGCCTCAGGAAAGGCTATTAAGATTATAACTTTGGGGACCAGCAGTTAGTGTAATGGCTATGTTGCTGGACTCCCATGTAGTCAACCGCGGTTCAAGTCCCGGACCCGGTGACTTAAACTCACCTGAGTGTGTGTGCGTGCATGCCCAAGATCCCAAGAGGAGAATGGAGAAGGGATTGCAACATGGCTATCCCCCTGGGGGGGGGGGGATTTCTCACTTTCTGTCTTTCTGTCTCTCTCTTTCTGGAGAGCGCACGTGCCCTATGGCAAAAACCTCTCCAAAAAAAAAAGGTTATAACTTTGTATGTAGAACTTTACATATTTACCAAAACATTTAAATTTTTATTCTTTTAGCTTTTAGTACATATTAGTATTTTATGAATATGGTTAATAGACAAGTAAAATAATTTACCGTTCCCCCTTTCTTTTTTGGAGCAATAACTGTTTTACAAGAGGCATTAGTATTTTTAAAGGTCAATTGTTCTAACAAAATTTGTCCTGCCTCCTGATTAGAGACCATTCACTATATGGCTTGTGAAAAGCGGGAAATAAAATTTTAATATAATCTGCTCCCGACAGGTATGCCTTGCCTAGCACCAGCCAATTATTAGGAGTAAATGCAGATTGTGTAGCTGTCTCTGACACCGCAGTTTTATGAGGGGCTGCGGGGCTACATTGTGTACAAGCCATTTTTAATTTTTTTAGAGTTTTAAAGGATATCGGTTTATGTTGATGTTGATTTTGTTTTGGATTGTCAGAATCAGGAGCCTCTATAACAGGGCACAATTTAAGTCTTAAAGCATCCTCTCCCCTGCCTTTCGCAATGTGAAGCTTTTTGGAGGGGTGTTTCGGGGGAGCTGTTCTTTCTGCCCTAGCGCCATGCGATATGCAATAGGTCTCCACTGGGAAGCGCCAGGCCTGAGGGCACATTTTAATCACGTATTTTCAAATGAACTACTCTCCACACTCTACCTTGGAGGAGAGTTTGCCGGCCTCTGAGCCAGACCTCCGACACCAGGTGCCAGGCGTGGAGTGGGGCACCTGACGCCTCTGGGGGTGGAGCTGGGTCAGCGCCGCGTGAGAACTGGCCCGCTGCAGTTTGCAGGACAGCAGCGACCCAGTGCGCTCACTTTCCTGGCCGCGCTGGGCGTAAGGGTCGGCTCCCTCCACAGCCGGAGTTCCTGGGCCCTCCAGAGGCTTTGAAGGCAGCCCCGGGTCTCGGGTCTCGGGTCTCTGCCGTCTCTGCCGGACTGTCCCTGTGTGCGGACATTCACAGCAGGTGGGATCGGCTGTGCTTCATCGTCACTGTGAAATTTCCAAGCACTCCCAGGGCGGTGGCTGGAACTACTCCTGTGGCTGTCACACCTCCTCTAGAAGAACGCTCCAAAGCAGACGACATCTGGCGTGTCGCACAGCCTTCCCCCGGTTCCAGGAGAGCAGGACTCCTGCCTGCTCATGACTCCTGCCTGCCCATGACTCCTGCCGCGTCATGGTTGCCCTCACCCCTCAGCGTCCGTCCTGGGGACAAGCCGCGCACTGCCCGTGACCGCCGGGCGCTCTGTGGTCACCAGGCCTGGCTGTCGATGCTGCTGAGGCTGCGAGGGCCCTGAGCCTGCCGGGTGTGTGCAGTGAGGCTGTGGCCGGTGTTCCCGCCATCTGTTGTGCCCCCGGTGACACAGGACTAAACGACCCTCACTGAGGCAGGACCCGCCTCTCTGCAGTGAGGAATTCCTGGACCACAGGTGCCTGAGGGTAGTTCAGTTCCCCTGTGGTGCGTCCCCAGCCTGGAAGGTCCCAGGACACCGTGCAGATCCTGGGAGCGGCGAGCCCGCACACCGCACACCGGGGCCGCCCGCAGAGGCCCGCCTGCCCCGCGCCCCAACGCCGGCTCCTACGCCGGCTCCTTCCCCATCACCTTCCGCACCGCCGTCTTCATGTCCTTGTTCCTCAGCGTGTAGATGAGGGGGTTGAGGGTGGGCGCGAGGACCATGTAGAGCACGGCCAGGGCCTTGCTCTGGTCCTGGGAGTAGTTGTCCTTGGGCTGCAGGTACAGAAACATGATGGTCCCGTAGAAGAGCGAGACCACCGTCAGGTGGGAGGCGCAGGTCCCGAAGGCCTTCTTCCGCCCCTCCGCCGAGCGCATCCTCAGCACCGCCCTGGCCACGCAGCCGTAGGAGAGCAGGATGACCAAGACAGGCATGGCCAGGATGATGAGCCGGGCGACGAGCATCCTGGACTCCGTGGGGCCGGTGTCCACGCAGGACAGCTTGACGACGATTAGCAGCTCGCAGAAGAAGTGGTCCACCCGCCGGTTTCCGCACCGCGGCAGGACCATGGCCATGGAGGACTGGAGGGAGGAGTTGGCGAGGCCGGAGGCCCAGGAAGCTGTGGCCAGGAGGTGGCACAGCCTGGGGTGCATGACGGCAGCGTAGCGCAGCGGCCAGCACACTGCCACGTAGCGGTCCACGGCCATCACAGCCAGGAGCACGCACTCGGTGGAGCCGAGGGCCAGGGCCACCCAGCACTGGGCCATGCAGCCGGCGTAGCTGATGCGCAGGTTGCGCCCCCACACGTTCACCAGCATCTGGGGCACGATGCTGGTCGTGAAGCAGAGGTCGAGCACAGACAGGTTCCTGAGGAAGAAGTACATGGGCGTGTGGAGGCGCGTGTCCAGGACGGACAGCGAGATGATGGCCGTGTTCCCTGCCAGCGTGACGGTGTAGAACATCAGGACGAAGAGGGACAGGGCCAGCTCCAGCTCGGGCCGCTCCGAGAAGCCCACCAGGATGAAGTCCCCGCCGGCGCTGTCGTTGCTGGTTTCCATCCCGCGCCCGAGGGTCACCAAGGGAGAGGCCGTCCCAGCTGCAGGGGGCTTCAAGGGGAGGGCAAGTCAGCACGCGACGTGGGCAAGCCCGGCCGCTGCGTGCGAGCTAGGTCTGCCCGGGCTCGTTCCCACCTGTCTTGTCTTTCCTTTCTGTTTTTGTTTTTGGGGAGGTTTTTGCTATAGGGCACGTGTGCTCACTAGAAAGACAGAGAGACAGAGAGACAGAAAGCGAGAACTCGCCCCCAGGGAGATGGCCATGCCGCAATCCCTTCTCCTCCATTCTCCTCTTGGGATCTTGGGCACGCACGCACACGCGCCTGCTGTGAGTTTTAAGCCACTGGGTCTGGGACTCGAACCATGGTCAGCTACATGGGAGTCCAGCGACATAGCCATTTTGCCAATTGCTGATCCCTAAAAAAACACTTTTATACATTCAATCACTGTATATCGTTACAGCTTGCAAAATGAATTTTTCCAGCATGAAAACACTGGAGTGTTTTAATTCAGTTAGAGATATCGTACAGGTTATCATCAACAGATCATTTCCATTTCTGTGTCTCTTTAATACTTTGCTTCAGTTTGGGGGACCAGCAGTTAGCGTAATGGCTATGTCGCTGGACTCCCATGTAGCTGACCATGGTTCGAGTCCCAGACCCAGTGGCTTAAAACTCACAGCAGGCGCGTGTGCGTGCGTGCCCAAGATCCCAAGAGGAGAATGGAGGAGAAGGGATTGTGGCGTGGCCATCCCCCCGGGGGTGATTTCTCGCTTTCTATCTCTCTGTCTCTCTCTGTCTTTCTGGCGAGCACACGTACCTTATAGCAAAAACCTCTAAAAAAAAAAAAAAAAAGAAATAATATTTTGCTTCAGTTTGGGAAGAAAGCTACTCAGACAGTATCTCCCCTTTTCCTGGCCAAAAAGAAAGAAAAAAAAAAAAACCAGTTACTTGAACGGTATTTTCATTTTAAAATAGATTTCGTGGAAATTAAAATGCAGCTTTTTAAAAAAGAATTAATCAAGGAAATTTCACTTGATTTTTCCACTTCAATTGTTCTGTTTTCAAATGTGGGAATTACAGTGGTCCTGACACCCATTCTCACGACGACCTATTAGAACTTCATAACTGCCTGTAATCTTCGTGACATGTTAAATTCACTCACGTGAGAGACCAAGCTCGTTAATACTAAAAGCTAAGTACCCAGTTTAAACGCAGTCTCCCCCAGCGAGGCTCCTTTCAGGTGAGCCCTGTGCTTGAGGGAGGGGTTGTGGGCCTGTCCTGCCCCCAGCATGGCGGCCGGGGCTCCAGGGCCCTCCTGTGGGACCCTGCCATGGGGGAAGACGGCCATGCTCTCTGGGCTGGCAGGGGTTTGAAGAGCTGACCTCACTCCTGGGAACCGTGTGGTCCTACAGAGACCCCTCACTGCCCACACACTCCCAGGCCTGCAGCTCGGCCGCTGCGTCTCCCGGGGCAGCTGGACCCACTCCTGCAGCCTGGGGATGCAGCGGCCCCCGCCAGCACCCTGCTACTGGGCCCTTGTCCTGCAGCCCTTGCCGTGGCCCTCCTCGGCATGCAGAAACCCCTCTTTCTTCATTTTAAAACCACTGCAGCAGCCATGCCTTCCCGGCTCAGCAGCGGCAACCACAGCCCTCCTCTTGCCGGGAATGTCCATGCAGGACTCCAGCCTGGCCGCCCCACACCGGGTGCAAACGCATCAGCTGAACCTTTCCAGCAGCCCTTTGGGAGCAGACAGTGCGGTACCCGCGCCCCCACTTGCTCCGAGTAAACCTTCACAGTCCCTCACCTGTCTCCCTCCTAGCCGTTCAGCTTTTCAAGTGGAAGACCTACTCTGAGTGGCCAAGAACTACGAAAGCATTTAAAATAATCGCCTTATCAATTCTGTACACGCCGCCTTCTCCACACACACTTTGAAGTCGGAGTCAGGTGAGGCCAAGAGAGGGACGGAAGATGCTGGTCCCTGCAGGTCGAGGGTGGTGGGGGACGGAGTAAGAGCTCCGCGGCGGATTCTGCCCACGCCTCTGTGTGAACCGAGGCGGAGGAAGGTGGCGGTCCCCAGCGAGTGAGAAGAGGGTACAGGAATTTAGACACTTCTTTTCCAGAGGAATTGCAGCCAACGGCGCCCAGCAGGGCACAGAACAGAAGCTGAGTGCGAGGCAGAGGGCTGCTCCTTGTCCGCCTGGGAAGGTCCCCAAGGTCCCTGCCCCTCTCCAGCTGTCCTGCTGTTGAAGAGCGCGACCTCGCACACGTCTCTTCCCGTTCAAGGTCTGGAGCAGAGCCTGGGAGAAGCTCTGCACTACCCGGGGCTCGGAGTGTTACTTGTGCAGGGCGTCCTCGGGAAGGCCAGCCTCCCTCCATGCCACACCGCTGCACCTGGGCCCTTTGCTGCCGGGTACAAGCTACACCCTTTCTGCTCTCTCTCTTTTATATATATATATATATATATAGCCAGAGGGCCCATATGTCCACCAGAGACAGAGACAGAGACAGAGACAGAGACAGAGACAGAAAGCATTCCCCAAAGGGGCAAGGTCCCACCACAGTCCTTTCTCCATCCTGCAGGGTGACACACAGCTGGCAAGTTTGTCTGCCTCAGGGGCCAGGAGTCACATCACAGTGGCGTGTAGGGCCTTCCCGAGCAGGACCCGGCTCCCGTGCAGGGCCTTCCCGTGTAGGACCCGGCTCCCATGCAGGACCCGGCTCCCATGACCTCTGCACTGCAGGGCCGGCCATGGCTGCCCTCTTCGTACCCCCTGGACCGAGCACACTGAGGTGTGAGGACCTGAAGCTGGTGTCCACTGGATGCAGATCAGAGCCCCCCTCCTCCATCACTCTGTTCATCAAGACAAACGGCTACATCCATTCGACGGGGCTTTCCGTACTGGTAGATCCAATAGTGCTACACTAATTTACACTGACAGTCTAAAGCCACGAAAGGCGGGAATTGATCAGGACTGACTGAGGGCTGGCAGAAGCACACAGGATGTGACGAAAGACCCAGTTTCTAAGTGAAAGGCTGAGTCCTCGCTCGGGACCAGTTCAGACGCCCAGGAAGGAGCGAGGGCGCGGACCCATGTTCGCTCCGTTCCTTGCCGGACGGCCAGTGCCACGTGTGTGTGCCGCTAGCACCTGCAGTGCCCGTATTCCATGAGACCCGTATTACATTTTAAATGCGGTTTTTAAGTAAGTATCTGGTTCCTTATTTTAAAATGGTGATTGGTGTCGCAACCCTGACATCCACCCAGCACACTAACCAACTGGGGCAGTCTAAGCAGATGCCCCTCAGCTCCCCATCCTCGCCCTGTCCACCCCGGCCCCCCTCCACACCTGTGCCTCTGCCCTCTCAGCTCCCCATCCTCGCCCTGTCCACCCCGGCCCCCCTCCACACCTGTGCCCCTGCCCCCTCAGCTCCCCGTCCTCACCACCGCCCCCCACCCCGGCCCACTGCCACACCTGTGCCTCACACCCACCTTACCTGTTACTGCCTGTGGGCATCTGAGACTGAACCCCACGTGCCAGCTGCCTGAACCGGGGCCTCGCCATCACGTGACTCCACCACTTTGTCCATTCAGACAGCGTCGGCCAGCCCAGGAAGGGTCTGCCAGCTTCCGTGCGTTCTGCTGCCAGCTAGTTCATGCCCCCGCAGGTCACAAACGCTCTCCTTGGCATGTACAGAAATCGGAATGCGAGCTCTCAAAGGCAATTAACAAGACCTGCAGAGGAGAAAATTCCATTCTTCTTTTCTTTGACCACTGTGAGGTTTCTAAAACGCTGCCAAGGGCAGGTGTAGCCAGCAGTGCTGACAGCCCTTCTTCCTGGCCCGTCTCAGGGTCTGTGGCCCTCACCGTGATGCCAGCCGGTAGAGACACGACCACGTGGTAAGGGACGCTCCAGCCCGTTACTTCACGTGGGGGGTAAAGGGACAGGAGGAGGGTTGGGGCAGCGGCTGCGATCCGCCACCACAGGCCCCTCCCTGCAGGCAGGCCTGCTCTCCCCGGGAGGACGAGGCGAGGGAGCCGGCAGTGCTGAAGGGAACAGATAATTGGAAGCACAGGAGTTCAAGCCCCAGGGGGTGGGCAAAATTGGGGAACAGGGTAAAACCAGGGCGGATGTGCTTCCTAAACGAGTCTCGTTCCAGTTAACCACCTCAGAGCACCTTGCCGGGGGCTTAGGTCTGACGTGGCATGAAGTCAAGGGGTGTTTTCAAAACGGCTCTTCACTTCCAGAGGCGGGGCGTGGGCAGGTCTTCCTGGCTCTTAGGAGAATGATACTGTCATACTGCTCTTCTCATCACGTTATAAAAATCATGGGCGGTCACACTCAGAAAAGTGGGTACACTCTTTTTTAGAGTTTTTTTTTTTTTTCTGACGGTGCGTGCCCTCACCGGAGCCATACTGCTCTTCTCATCACGTTATAAAAATCATGGGCGGTCACACTCAGAAAAGTGGGTACACTCTTTTTTAGAGTTTTTTTTTTTTGCCTGAGGGTGCGTGCACTCACTGGAGAGAGAGACAGAGATACTGAGAGGGAAAGTGAGAACCTCCCCCCCTCCCCCGGGGACGGCCACTTCCTCTGGCATCTTGGGCAACCAGGGTCTCGAGCACACGCCACCAGGTCCGAGACTCCTGCCCCCATCAGCCACGTGGGAGTCCAGTGAGGCAACCGCCGGCCATCCACTGGCCCCCACGCAGGTCATCTGCACGGCTGGGTGAGGACTCGGGCAGCGTGCGGAGGCGCGGCCCTGCCCAGTGCGCCCCTGAGCTCGGCCGTGCAGAGCGCCCCGTGGCTGGGCCTTATTCTAAACTCGCACTGTTTCTGAGGTTGTCAAACCCAAGCCCCGTTTTCTAGAACGCAAAACGAAGTCTCCCAGACCCTGAGGGCAAGAGCACTTGAGGGACCTAGACAGCAAGAGCACCTGGTCGGGCCTCACCCCGGCCACCTGGCTGCCCACCACTGCTGCCCCACGACCACGGGGCTCTGCCTGCC